CGACGACGACGACGACGACGACGACGACGACGACGACGACGATGATGATGATGATGATGATGATGATGATGATGATGATGATGATGATGATGATGCCGATGATGCTGATGATGCTGATGCTAATGCTGATGTTGCTGTTGAGGATGATGATAACGACGATGGTGACGATGATGAGAGGAGGCGGAGGAGGAGGAAGAGGAGGAGGATGAAGAGGGACAGGAGGAGGAGGAGAAGGAGGAGAAGGACGAGGTGGAGGAGGAAGAGGAAGAGGAGGAGGCTGAGGATTCAGAGCACAAGCACAAATCATCTGGTGGAGAGGGAGGAGTTGCAGCAGGAGCAGGAGGAGCAGCATCAGCAGGAGCAGCAGGAGGTCCCAGCGCCCCCAAGGCGCCAACGTTCATCGCCTGGCCCCCGCTGGAAGCCCCGCGCCGTTCGGGACCCCCTGGACCAACCAGTCGACCCTCGCCGAGGCGCTGGCGGGAGGCGCCCTGGGGCGGACGGCGCGGGCCGAGGCTGGACGGCCGACGAGAGCCTACGAGAACGTCAGGAAACGTCGAACCCCGAGCCTACCCCCCACGAGCCCATCCCCCTTATCGTTGGACAGCCGCCGAGAGCCTACGGGAACGTCAGAAAAAACATCGAACCCCGAGCCCAGAGCCCACCCCCCATGCGCCGTTCCCCCCTCACGCCGCTGCCCCTGAGAGGGGGGAGGCGGAGGAGGAGGAGGCGGTGGCGTCGCGGTGGAGGCGCGAGCTCTCGTTCCCACCGCCCCGGCGGCCTCTCTTCGGTTGCGCGCGCGAGGAGGCGGGCGGGCGACCGCCCGCCAGCACTGGCGCCACGAGCCCTGGCTCCGCGGCCTGCCCATCAAGCAGAGGAGGCGGTGGCCACGGCTGGCCCTTTGAGGCTGCACGCGGCCCAGGCCCCCTCGCGTCACGACAGCTGTTGATGGGCTGTTGATGGGGTGACAGCGCACAAGTCGCGCGTCACAAGTCGCGGCGGACAGCTGTTGATGGGCTTGTTTTCCACCACCACCACCACCATAAGTTTGAGGGGGGAAGGAGAAGGAGGAAGAGCAGGAGGAGGAGGACGAAGAGGAGGAGGAGGAGGAGGAGGAGGAGGAGGAGGAGGAGGACCCCCTCCCCCTCCAACTCATGGTGGTGGTGGTGGTGGTGGAACACAGGCCCATCAGCTGTGCGTCATCTCCTGCCTCTGCGGGCCCCTCGCCGCACACTGCGCAGGACCCGGGCCCCCCTCGCGTCGCGAAGAAGCTGCGCGGCGGGCAGCTCTTCGTTATCTCTTGCCTCCATGGGGGCCCTCGCCGGGCCCCGGGGCCGTCAGCAATACGACTTCGGGCCAAAAAGCGGGTCTCGGGGAATGGTCGAGACCTCTGGGGGCCGAGGTTGTGAACAAATCATGGCGTCGTTCGTCGCTCCCAATGCCCCTTGGGCCTTCGAATCTACTGGACACGTTCGTGTCGGCGGCCGCCTTTGGTCTCGCCATGTACACGTCCAGCGAATGATGGCGACCGATTCCGAGAGGCGAGCTGTTGGTGGCGTGGTTGCATTGATCAAAATCTTCCCCACCTTGTGGTCAGGAACTTTTGGATAGCGTGTCCTTTTCGCCGGTTCTGGCCCACCACGCCTCCGCGAGACACGCTACCCACCTCGCGGTCCCCAGGCGTCCACGTGCCGAGCCTTTCCAAGCCTCCCGCCCCGCGGAGCGGAGGTGCACGCCATCTGCTCGCAAGGCATAGCGTGTCGCCGGGGCCGCAGCCGCGACACGCTGTCCAAAAGTTCCCGTCCGGAGCTCCCCGTCGGCGGCGGCGGCGCGCCCCGCCGATTGCAGCAGGTGCAGGCTCCCGTCTCCCCCTGCGTGGTGCTCAGCGGCGGCACTCGCGCCTTCGAGGCGGGCAGGGGTCTCGACGTGTTTGCCCTCGCCCCGAGCCCCGAGTTTGGTCCCGCACCCTCGCGTCGTCATGGGGGAAGTGGGTCCCGAGGCAATCGGGTCCTGAGGTTTGTCAGCCTTTTTCGGGCCCCCCGTTTGTCACCCTCTTCGGGCCCCCCGGTGCCCTCCACAGGCCCCCCCGGACCGTCAGGCAACGACTCTGGATGAGGATCTCGTCCCGGGGGAAGAGGCCCGCGGGCTCCAGAGATCCGGTGCCCATCAGGGGCCCGGGCCTCCCCCCTGCGAGCTGGAGCCTGCGTCGGAAGGCCCCCCCCCCTCCACAGTCCTGCAGCGCTTGCGAGGGGGTGCCACGCTGGGGCACCAATGATGGGCAAGTTTTCCACCACCACTACCATGTGTAGGACGGAGGGGAAGGGAGGATGAGGAGATCCTCCTCGAGCTCTGGTGGGCGTGGGAATGGACGGGGTCGCCGCGCCTAATGTATGGGCCCCCTTTGAGGGCTGCGTGCCTATGGGGGCGCCCATCGGCCAGTGCAGTCTCTTGCTGTGAGCCTGAGAGGGGCTCGCATCGTCAGTCGTCTGGTTTCGAAGGAACCCTCTCAGAGTACAGTCAAGTTTTCTCGGGCTCGTAGTCTGTTGCTTGACAGGGACTCCATGAGGATCTGCTCTGCTCTGCTCCTCCTCCTCCTCCTCCTCCTCCTCCTCCTCCCTCTCCTACATATGGTAGCGGTTGTGAAAAATGGGCACATCAACGAAGGGGGGCCACGAGGGGGACCGCGACGGGGACCCACGACTGGGGGCCACGAGGGGGAGCCACGATGGGCCTCCGATTTCGGGTGCCGGGGCCCCCCCCACTGGGCGCTATTGAAGCACTCCTTCCCTTTAGGACCCTTGCAGACAAGCGGTCTGCCACGATGTGGGTCCAAGGTGGGGGGCCACGATGAAGGATCCACGGATTTGGGAAGACCAGCATCCCTTGCACCGGGCGTTAGGATGATGATGCAGAACTCTTGCAGACAAGCTCTTTCGGGAATTCCTTCTCTCCCCCTTCACCCCCTCCTCCTTTGCCTTCTCCTCCCCGTCCTCCTCCTCCTCATCATCCTCCTCCCCCCCCCCGTCCAGGCGCATTCGCATGGGTCGGGCTTGCTGACTGCTACCGCTTCCCGCACGTCTTGCACTTCGCATCGGTCGCCGAGCTCTGGGCGCTGCTGCGCGACGCAGACCTCCTCGGGACCTCCCGTTGCCATCAATCATGAGGTCCCTTGGCCGCCCACCAGCTTCCCTTCTTCGGGGGGCGTCGGCCCTGCACGCACACCGATCCTTGCCAGGCTCAGGATTGGTGCATACGCCTCACTGACCATGCCATGAGGTCGCGCATGCCGATCCTGGGTGCAGCATTGGCCTGACCAGGATCGGTTCTGGTCGGTGGCCGGCGCCCTGACGTCCGCCCCTCCCTGCCATCCCTCCTCCGGTTCCTTCCCCCCCTCCGTCTTGTGTATGTGGGTGTCTGTGTTTGCGTCTGTCGGCCGCGCGTAGAGGGGGATAGGGGGAGGGGGGAAGGCTTCTTAGAAGCACCCCTGCTTCTTTGAAGGCGCGGGCCTGATCTAAGAAGCAGCCTCCTTCTATGAAGCCTCTCCTCTCCCTCTACCCTGTGCGTGTCGCCAAGTCTGTTTGTGTGTGTGTGCGTCCAGGCACCCACGCGCCTGCGTCCGCCGTCGTGCCGATGAGAACTTGTGTGACCATGCGGGACGAGCAACACACAAGTCAGGACCCCCTCAACGGGGACTCCTTGATAAACCAAGACACCTTCGGCGCGCCCGCGAATGCTGCGGCCGTGGGTCTCGAAGCAGCATTCCCGATTCTGCGTCCTCGCTGCGTGGACGTGTCAAAGTCCTGGCTAGCAGCGTCCTGGCCAAATCGTGGCCCTGGGTAAGGCGGGGCTGGGACCTGGACAGCTCGTCCCAGAGCGTGCCAGAGCGTTCTGAGAGCCTTCCGGAACGCTTCCCCGTACGTCTTCCAGAACTCGGATGGGGCGGGGACGAGGATAAGTCCGTTCCAGAGCGTTCCGGAGCGCCCTCAGAGCGTTATGGAACGCTTTGAGAAGGCGGCGGCGCCTGGTACAGTCCTCCAAAGACGCCTCTCGATCTATCCTTGCCCGACTTGGTCCTCGCCTTGGCTTCGTCTTAAGCGCCGCCGGGGTACCAAAGATCCCCGATGCATCGACGCAAGAACGAGGTAACCATACACTGTCGAAGGTCCGCGCAGATTTCTTGGATTTGCGCTGGGCCCCCCCCTGGCGGCGCCTCCCGCGCCGAAGGATGCGACCGCCGCGCATCGAGGAAGGGGGGGGGGTCCAGCGCGGATCCGAGAAATCCTCGCGGACAGCTGGTAGCAGTATTCCTTCCTCCGATTTACGCCCTGTCGGATTTCGTCCCTGCCCTGGCTTCGTCTTACTGTCGGCGACGAGCAAGGGGGAGAAAGTGAGAAGGAGAAGGCCTTCTCGAACGGTTCGGAAGCCCCCCAGCCTCCTGAGAAGTTCTCTGGGCCTCCCCCGAAGACAATTGCAGGGCTTCTCAGCAGGCGCGGGGGACTCCTGAGAAGTCCCGCCGCCTTCTGAGCAGGCCCCCTCTCCTTCTCCCTTGAGTCGGGCCTGTCCCTCTACAGGGGGGATCTGCAAAAAAAGTAGAAGAATAGTCCGGGGACGATTCTTTGACTATCTTTGAATCTTTGGGGGGTATCTTTGGAGTATCTTTCATTTTTCGCCCCAAATCCCCCTGCAGGGGGACACGCCCGACTTAACCCCCTTCCCCCCCTCGCTCGCCGCCGACACCTGGGGTGCGCCGGCACGCCTTCAAGAGACCTCGCCATGCATCGCTCGAGCTTGGCTCTCTGGTCTGCCTCATCGGTTCGGCGATTAGCCAGTCACCAACCCCAGCATCGGCTCCAAGGTATCCCAAGGGATTCACCAGGGATCTGCGAGCCAGCTGGCTGCTGGGATGTAGGGGTCGAAGTAAAACCGACAGATAAGCAACTAACACCAGAGATGGAAGAGGAGGACAACGGAGGAAAGGCCCCCGTCCCAGGACGCGCGCCCGCATGCGGCGGGCCGGCGCGGAGCTCCGCCGGGGCGCCGCGGCGTTCTACAGGGGCCTCCTGTCGCGGCTGCTGGTGCGGGCGCCCGGAGGCCCCGAGCAGTAAGTTTCCGCCTGTTCCCGCTTCCGCGGCCGATTGTTCGCGGGGGGTTCGAAGACGAGTCGTCGAAACCATGTCGGAGTGGCGCGAACGCACTCGTATCGCAACCAATGTTGCCGAATCTGTATGAGTTTGCTCAGGAAGGGACAAAAACACACAGACACAATTAATCGTCGACTCCCAGGAAAATATGGGAAAATATGGGAAGTGGGGGGGGAAGACAAAAACCTAGAAAATATGAGGAAATATGGAGAACATGGTTCTTTGTGTGTATTTATTTGTGTGTCCTGGGGCCCCTTCAACGTATCGCAACCAGTGTTGCCGAATCTGTATGAGTTTGCGTTGGCAGCAAGCGTTTGGCTCGCCCCGAGAAGCGCACGGGGCGCGGCGCTCGGGCCTCCGCGCGGCGCGCTCCTTGCGGTGCTCTGCCTCCGGGTTGGCCTCCCATGCCTCTGCGCGGTGCCTTCTCTCCAGGGCCTTCTGCTTGCCTCCCTCTCCCCCCTCGCCCGTCCCCGTCTCGCCCCTCCTGCCCCTCCTCTGCGCTGAGGAGATGCTGCTGGTTGCCCTCCCCTCCTTCTGCTCTGGGCCTTTTATGTACTCTCTTACAGCTCCATGTGCTAATGTGTTTTGTTCCTTCTTGTGATTCCTCCTCTTCTTTCCCTTGTTCGTTGTCTCTCTTCTCGTATACGTATTTCCTCAGAGAAGTTCGTCGTAGTCATCGTCTTCTTGTATATGTGTGTTCATGCATCCATAGGTGTGTACGCGTGTTATTTCTATATCGTTATTTCATCCTTTTGCGGCGCTGGCAGGCTGCATGACATTCATTTGGGCATGCCGATGGTTGTGCACAGTGCGCGCGTGCTTGATACTTGTGCGTGCGTGTATGTGCGTCTGTGTGTGCATTTGCATATATGTTCCACAATAAGTTATTTTTCTGCCCTTCTCTTTCCCGCTCCCTCTCCCCTTCCCTCCTCTCAGCCATAGGCGACCAAAACGACGTACATGTTCATGAATGTCGCAGGGCACGAGAGTACGCATTGTGAGAACGTTCGGTGGCCGTATCCATATGTGTGGGAGGCGAAGCAGCCCACACGAAACCCCCTCAGCTCCCACGGAGCTCCCGGGAAGCTTACAGACCCCCCGCCCTGCCCTGCGAGCCTCCTCAACCCCCTCCTGCCATCACCTGCTGCCACCACCCCCCTTCTGGGCCTTACCCCCAGCAGCCTCTGGGACGTCAGGATCGCCTTCCGAAGGCCTCCCGGGCCCTCCTCTTGCAGGTCTAATATCTCTGCAGTCTTCGATGGTGATGCTGATGACGACGATGACGACGACGATGGCGATGACGGTGATGACGATGACGATGACGGTGACGATGAGAATGGTGATGACGACGATGATGATAATGATGCTGATGATAATGATGGTGCTGCTGATGATGCTGATGCTGATGACGACGATGATGACGATGATGCTGATGATGCTGATGATGATGTTTATGACGACGACGAAAATGATGATGACGCTGACGATGATGATTGCGATGAGGATGAGGATGCTGATGATGATGAGGCTGAGACAATGATGCTGATGGCGATGATGACGATGATGATAACAATGATGATGATGGCGATGAATATGACGACGATGATGATGATGGTCATGCTGATGATACTTATGATCATGATAATGATGACGATAGTGATTGTGACGACAGAGATGATGAGGATGAGGTGGAGGAGGAGGAGAAGGAGGAGCAGGAGCAGAAGGAGGAGGAGGAGGAGAAGGAGAAGGAGGAGGATGCTGCTGCTGCTGATGATGATGAGGAGGAGAAGGAGGAGGATGACACTTGGCATGGCCCAGACATGTGCATTTTTTCCCCTATCAGCGCTTGCACTGTAGGGGTCCTAGCGGATATTTTCCCAAGCGTTGCTTGCAACCTCTTGGGGTCCTGGCAGATCTAGTAAGATCTGGCGAAAGTTCTCCGCCGATTTCGATCGGCGGTCGGGTTCCCCGGTTCCCGGTTCTGGGTGCTGTCTTCCCGCTTCCAGGTTCAGGATTGAATTTGGCGAAAGAAGTTCGTCGCCGATCTTGTCAGGCAGCGGGGTTCTGGGTTCCCAGTTCGGGGTTCGGGGTTCACTTTTCCGGGTTCCGGATAGGTCTCGGTGAGCGGAAGGGCTCCCGGGTTCTGGGTTCCGGGTTCCCGTTTCAGGGCTCCGGCATTGTTCTCGCAGGGCGGCTGGGTTCCCGGGTGGCCGGGGTTGGGTGCCGGGGTTCGCCATTTACATAAATATGATATATCTATATATATATATATATATATATACATATCTATCTATATATATATGGCAAGCAGTTACTACTACTACTACTACTACTACTACTTCTACTGCTACTACTACTACTGCTACTACTACTACTACTACTACTACTACTACTACTACTACTACGACTACTACTACTACTACTACTACTACTACTACTACTACTACTACTACTACTGATAAACATAGAGGGCGACGGATGGATACGGAGTGGATATGTGTGTCTGTACATGTGTATGCAAATATGGGCGTACAGCAGTTACCCTACCCACACACACACACACACGTGCACGCACACACATACATACATATATATATATATACATATACATATATGTGTGTACATATATATGTATGTATGTATACATAAGGATATGTATATGTATGTATATATATATAGACATCCTAATTCACCCATCCTAATCCACCCACTGATTCGATTTCTTCTTTGGTGTAATGGACGATTTGGCGAAAGTTCGCCGTCGATTTTGGTAGGCGGCTGGGTTCCTGTTTTCCCGGTTCTGGGTTCCGGGTTCCCGTTTCCCCGTTTTGGATTGGATTTGTCAAATGTTCGCCGCCGATTTCGGTTACTAGGCGGCCGGGTTTCCGGGCTGCGTTCCCATTTCCGGGTTTTGGATTGGTCTCGGTGGGCGGCTGGGTTCCCGGTTCTAGGTTCGGGGTTCCTGAATTTGGGTTCCAGATTGGTCTCGGTGGGCGGCTGGGTTTCTTGTTGTTTTGGTGTTTGTTGCTAGGGTCCGCCATCTCTCTCTCTCTCTATATATATATAGATGTGTATATATACGTAGTCAGGTATACACATATATCTATATATATATACATGTATGGATATATTTGTATCAATATATGTATATACACGTAGATATAACAATACATGTATGCATACCGTAGTGAGGGCGAGAGATGGATACGTAGTGGATATAGGTTATATAGATACGTGCGTACAGCGTTTATGCATCTATATGTATATATCGAACCGTCCATTGGATGGGTTTTTCCTCTGATGTTTTTTGTCGAGGACCACGGAGGAGCATCTCAGACTATCGTGCGAACTCATGCACGCACGACGTCGAAACATGCACTGGGAACGGCCGTCCGAGCGATGACGAGGAGACCGACGATGAAGATGATGCTGATGATGATGTTGTTGATGATGATGATGATGATGATGATGCTGACGATGATGATGGTGACGATGATGATGAGTGTGGAGGAGGATGGGGATGAGGATGCTGATGACGAGAATGATATCAATGATGATGACGATGACGATGATGATGTTGACGCTGATGATGATGCTGCTGATGATGATGCTGCTGATGGTCATGTTGAGGATGATAATGAAGAAGAGGATAATGGCGATACGGATGAACACGAGGATGAGGGTGAGGACTATGACGAGGACGAGGATGAGGATAACGCTGTTGTTGGTGATGCTGGTGGCGATGTTTTATATACACCGCAAATGAGTACACGAAGAAGATCAGCACGTTCAGTACGAGGGCAATGAAGCCGAAGAGCACCAACTCAATCGCCGAAAAGAGAGCGAAGAGCGCGATGCACTAGTCCACCAGACGCCGCAAGAGCGTGAAGCGCCTCCGCCAGAGAAACATCCCCTTCACGAACAGCATCCCGAAGCGTGAACGACTCGAGTCGCGAAGCACGGGCGAGGACCACATCGTCCATTTTGTCGGCAACGTGTTGAACGTCATGTGTTGAAAGAGCTGGCTCCTGCACCATACTCCCTGTCGGGAACGAAGGAGGCACAGCGCTCCCCCCTCAGAGCCATCCAAGGCGGGGGGAGGGACCACATCCATGGGAAACTAATGATCGCCTCCGACAGCGCCACCACCAACGGACAAGACTGCGCCAGGCGATGCCTCACCGCCGCAGCTGCTATCGCCGATGCTGGCGCCACAGATGGCGACCTGAGGCGAAACCGTTGCGGCATCGTCCATGGCGGGCGCCTCCAGCGGCTCCCAGACACCAGGCCAGAGCACCGAGGGCACCACGTCACCAGGAAGAGGATCGATGAGAGAAGGACGAAGCTCCTGCGACCCGACCAGAACAGGTGTGGGACGACGAGGAGCCGCCTGGTCGATAGGCGCCTGCACCTCCGCCCCGCCGCCTGCTGCTGCCTTTCCTTTGCGGGCGGCACCGCCAGGCGCGTTCAAGGCGTCGGTCTTGAACGCGCCTGGCGGTGCAAGCAGGCGCGCCGGCGCCAGGGCCTCGCCGAAGGAACGAACATGGGCGCCCATGGCATCGCTGAGTGCCCAGTGTCCCTCCAGCGCCGCCCACAGCGCTTTGACGCGGATGTCGATGGCCTGCGCGCGGCTGGGCCCCAGGGCTGCGCGCCGCTCGCGCCGTAGCCGGCGGGCAAGCGTCCTCGCGCTCGCAGGCGCTCAGGCCACGCCATTGCCGGAATGCATGGCCGCTCGCGGCGCGGAGCACCGAGGGCCTCCCGTGCGCCAGGCTCGCTTGAGCCAAAATGGTTGCGGATGTGATGATGGTGACGGACATGATGGCGGTGGTGAGGTTGTCAGCAGATATGATTGTGCTGCTGCT